CTCTCTCTCTCTCTCTCTCTATATATATATATATATATATATATATATAGTTTTAGTTTTTATTAATTTAAATTTTTTAAAATAACCACTTTCATCACTTATGTGATATTTATGAATTATTAGAATCAATTTAGTATTGAAAGAGTTGGAGTATTATTTACAAAGCCTTAAGTTCAAATCATGTTATCAATTTACTGTCATTGAAATTTTTATGTATAAAATAAATACTATATATATATAGTCCCAACATAATCACATACACAATTTATCTAAATGCATGTCATTTTATTTCAAAATTTAATTATATCAATCAAGATTATAAAAATATAGTGAAAATTAAGTTAATACGCATAGAATTTTAAGTTTAAATTTTGATTTTGTTATTATAATTATCATATATTAAATTAGCATCGGTATAGCTTCATATAGATAATATGATATATAATACGATTTTTGCTGATTTAATTATTAAATCATATTTATATATATATATATATATATATATATATATATATCTTTAATTGTTTGTGTCAAATTTTATCAAAATTAAATGATAATAAAAAATAATTAAATGGTACATATTTTTATATATTATATTAATTTTGATATTGAATTGTTATAACTTTTTTGTAATCATGATCAATTATATGAAATAATGTTTTGATCCAACAATAAATTTTGAGATAAAATTATTGAACATGATAGGAGTTGGTATATGTAACTCTCCCCGCGTGTGTCTCAAAATTTGATGTTATTTAATTAGGTGAACTCGTTGAGCACTTCATCACGTTGCACCATCCAAAATTGTTTCACCCTCTTTCTTACCAACCCTATTAAATAAATATATACACAAGTGAAACATAATCTTTCTTCCATTGACATCATTTTTCCAGTCCTAATGAAAACGAATGTTATCTAATAATTAAATTTCATATATATAAAGATGTAAAATGAATAGGAAAAAGGTAGGTACGTACGTTTATTTCTTGACTTATTTGTTTATATATTGATATATACATGTAAGATACATGAAGGTTCGTGATGGACACAGGAAAGGACTCATGTACCATATATAATAGACTCTGGACAACTTGACTTGTTGCTAGAATTATGGAAACAGGTTGAAAAAGTGTATTTCCTAATTTCTATGGTTGGTTTACACGTTTCCATGTAAAGTCCAAGTGTAGGAAAGATGCTGGAAATTAACAACAAAAGCACCATCCAATCTCATAGATATTATTAATTAGAGTGGTGAATTGGGTTATTATATATATATAGTGGCAGTGTGATCGATGAAGTGCGACAAATCATATAGCAATAGAATTCCTCAGTATCGTTGTTAAGACATGAACGGTGCAAAGAGATATGATTTATATTAGATTAGTCTCCAGCAGTTGTTAGTGGGCATTGGAATTCTAAACTTTCACTAAGTTTTTAATTAATCATTACTGGCTAACTTATTATAATCTGATATAGTGAAAAAATGCTTTTTTTAATATTTTTTTTAAGTATTATATATGTATATGTCCACGTCCTCTTTGCTTGGTCAAAATCAAATAATTTTCAGGTGAAAATAATAAATTATGATTTAATATATAAAGATAATTGGAGAATATACGCTCTAATGCACCAAACTTAACTACATGGTTACAAGTTACAACTTTGAAACCATTATTTGGGCAAACTATATATGCAAGGAATGTTTCTTTTTTAATAAATATTTTAATCCCAACACAATATGCCTTGCCTTTATTCAAATTAAAAAAAATGAATTAATTAAAGACTTAAAACTACGCATAAATTAAATGTTAAATTTTGTAAATCTAATCGTTGAATTATAATTTCATATCACTTTATATGTTTATATCAAATTTTGTTAAAATTGAATAATAACTTGAAGGTAATTAAAGTGTTCATATTTTATTATATTTTGAAATATATATATTATGTCAATTTTGTTTTATAAAAATAAAGTATCAAATTACATTGAATTAATATAAAATTTTGTGTATATGATATAAGAGTAAAAAAAATAACTTTCAATTTAACAATTAGATTTATAAAATTAATATTTAATATAGAGTTATTGAACGGCATAATACTTAATAAAAATTACATCGATGTCGTTTGAACCCTCATCTTTCTCTCTCTCAATATATATATAATTACAATTTCAACCACTAACTTTATAATCAATAATTATAATTACACTTTAATAAAAAAATTTATAGACTTAAGATTGAATGATGTAATTAATTGTTGATATATGAAGTATTTTTTTTTTTAAAATTATTTTTTAAACAGCTTAACTGATTCGTTGGATAAATACCAATTATAAATTAAAACATAAAAATACAAGTATTTGAAGTTTTTAATTTAAAAATGGCTAATTAGCTTAACTGGTAAAACATTTTTTTTAATGATAATTTGTAAATATCTTATTACACTTGGAATTCAAGAAGAAATTTGAGTATAGACTGAAATAAATTATAAATTGAAAACTAGAAATTTCCTTAAATTGCATAAATAATTAAGGAGAAAATAAATTATTTGATGATACAAGTCCATAGTGCCATAAAATGAATATGTGTGACTTGAGAAAGAGTATATACAAAGGTTGTCTCATTCTTAAAAATGAAGATTTGTGTTTATAATATAATAATCTATGTATGTGTGAAATATTAATTTGGAAGGGATTCATTCACTTGTCTTTTGATTTTTATGCCACATATAATACAAATTTGATAAATATGACGATTAAATAATGTGATATTATCTCAATTATATATAATTTTTTATTAGGTTTTAATTAAAATAAAAATTTATATGACTGATATTTACTTATATTTTAAAAAGTGTATTACATGTTAATAAGATTGAAGTTAATTGCTAAAATATCAACTATAATTTTATAAATTATATGAAAATTTGAATATCTAATCTATTTAATGATAGCTATCAATATAATGATTAAACTTATTGTATGTGTTATTATGAGAGGGTGTATTTATTTTGAGAGGACTATTTTATGTGAAAGTGAATATATAAATGATTAAAATTAAATATTACTTAAAGTCACACCGTTATAGAAAGTTAATTTTTATATTTAATTTAATCTTAATTATTTATATATAGTTAAATCTGATAATGAATATTTATCTATTTCATTTTCACATAAAAAGAAGATAATATATCTCTTTTAAGTAGAAACTAGAAAGCCTAAATTTAATCTTCATTGCATCATTATAATTTTTTTTATGAATGAAGAAAATATATCTCCATGTGTAAGTGTATGTTAAGATTCTCACCGGTGAATAATATTTTAGTTGTTGAGAAATATAATTTGTTTTATATAAAAAATAATTATTATATAACAGTTGGTTGATTATATTTTTTTAATGCACTTAGTGTCATCATATAAATGTGCGTGTGTAATAAGGGACTATCAAGTAAATTATTATTTTTCCATTTATCTAACTTACGGTCAATAATCATTATTATATTTAAGTAAAAAATTTGTAAGTAAAATACATCTTTTAAAATATTTTCATAAAATTAAAATTATAACTTACTAAAATATTCTTGAAATAGTCTCATTTTCTTGTTAAGACTATTTTAGTAATACAGTTTTGAAAATAGTTCCAAAAATTACACCATTTCATTTTTAGTTAGAAAAACAAGTGAAAAACTACAAATTCTTCTGTGCACCTGCGTACGTATATGCCAGCGCGTGGTTGGAGAATACTATGAACAATTGTGCAAGTTACTACCATTCCTCCACTATAAATGATTGTTTACATTTTTATCCCCCTAAACTACCAGTTAGATAAGCATACAAGTTATACTCTTATAAAGAAACCAACATATATATATAAATAGAATAAAAAACTAATTTATGCTTTAATTTTTCTGATTTTAGTTATTCAAGATCTTTTTTACTTTACAAAAGAATTATTAGATTATTGTGAAGAGAAAAATAATAGGCTAAGTACACCCTATACAGTGTAATTAACTAAAATTCGAATGTTAATTCTTGAAACAATATTATCCTAAAAGACTTGATATTCTTGAGTTCCAACTCTTGAATCAGTTCCATTAATTTCCTTATGTTAGTAAAATGCAAGAGGCAATCTTATTAAAAAGTTATGCTTTGTGAAAGAGATGTAATACCACACTCTCCCTAGCTAGTGAATGTGTTATAGAAAATATAGAATAGGTTACGGAAGCAACCAAGTTTAACTTTTAATCTCCAAAAATTGGTAATACGTGGCAAACAAGGCCCTAATCGCTACTAGCTACATGACCTAGAGGGTCACTAAATGGTCATCACATGACCAAGTTATTAACCGTAGTGCTGCTAATTACGCTAAATTACCCAATAATAATTGATTTGATGATGGGAGCACAATAATAAAAAAAACAAGGGCAAAAAAATAAAGCATGATTATTAATACTAATAGTACCATTAAAGCAAGAAATAATGTAGGCAAGGAAGAAAAAGAAGGGCTAAAGCACTTTCATTGGTCCCATGCCATGTCCCCTCACTAGCCCTTTGATGTGATCTTATATTTTTGAAAAATTTCTTCCACTTCTATTCTATTGTGTCTATTTGTCTTCTCTTCCACCAAAATTTCCCTTTCACACTTGAGAAAAAGAAATACTAAATGATTTAATTTATCATCATCAGTAGCATCAAACATGTCCAACAAGGGAAAGGAGGTAGCAGAAGGATCATCAAGAGGTGATGATCCTCATCACCACCATCATCAGCAGTTACCACTGAGTCGCTATGAGTCTCAGAAGAGAAGGGATTGGAACACTTTTGGACAGTACTTGAGGAATCAGAGGCCTCCTGTGGCACTTTCCCAGTGCAGTTCCAACCATGTTCTTGAGTTTCTTCGTTACTTGGATCAGTTTGGGAAGACCAAAGTGCACTTGCAAGGGTGTTTGTTCTTTGGCCAAAGTGAGCCACCTGGACCCTGCACTTGCCCTCTCAGACAAGCTTGGGGGAGCCTTGATGCACTCATTGGAAGGTTGAGAGCTGCATATGAGGAAAATGGAGGCCTTCCTGAGACCAACCCCTTTGCAAGTGGTGCCATAAGAGTCTACCTTCGTGAGGTTAGGGATTCTCAGGCTAAGGCTAGAGGAATCCCTTATAAGAAGAAAAAGAAGAAGAGGAGTATCATCAAGCCTAACGGGGACACCTCCTCAAACTTGCCTATGCAGTAACCAAATCAAAGTTTTATATATATAATTACCCTTCATGAGTATGTGGTATCTAATTTCTCTTGCTCACTGTTTAATTTGTGGATTTGCTTGCTTCTGTTTTCACATGGAAATGTTGTTTGAAGCATTGGCATGGTTATAATCATAGTAAGGACATAATTGAACAATTAATTGATGTAGTTTAATGACAGTACAGAATCTATTTGGATACAAATTAAGAAGTATTTATGAAAATTTCTCTACTAATAAAAATAAATAACTCTTTTCAATAGAGAAATTCTCAAAATTAAATCCTTTCAAGTTTGTATCTAGACAGAGTTATACTTTGTATTTGAATGTTTGTTGGTTGTGTTTCAGAGAAATGAAAATTCATGATCAATATGCATATACCAACACAGCACACGGTTGTATTAAAAGCATAAGAAGTTCTCATTGACATTTCATTCTATATTAAACCCTAATTTGTGGTCTTGAAAACCCTAATTGTATGTATATTACATGTAGTTATATGTTATAAATTGTGTACTAATTAACAGTGAATACGTACTTTACTTCAGTTTCTTGTTTCTTTTTAACATTGCACTGAATGAGCATACAGTAGAGGGATTGGGTAAATGCACTCTCATCCATTGTCGCTCTCACATGCAAGAAGACAATGTTATCATGGTTTCTACATTTCGTAATTATGTCTTTTGTGCTTATATAATAATAATAATTATATATATTTGCTTATCCGCATATCTTACTTCTTTCGTTGTTGGTTGTGGCTTCCACAAATGATACTGCAATGATATAAAACTTGAGAATTTATAAATTATTTAGTTAACTATATTATAAAAATAACGGGGGTATAAAAGGTTGATGATCCATGGTTGTGGGAAAATTAGATGCTGTTTCTAGAGTCTTGTCTGCTGGTGTCGACAGTTTATAATAAATTTCATTGGTGTACTATAGCTAGAACCCAAAATCTCTTGCTTTCATAAAGTTTTGTCTTATTCTAACAAATTTTGTTTCTTCTTTTCTCATTTAGCATCATATGAATGTCCTTTTCTTTCGTGCTGTTCTATGTATATATGTATCTGACATTCGTACATGTCTTTCCACTGTCTTATAACACTGAAAACTCATTTGACACTCACCATGCATGGCTTGCATTTTTACATTTCTTTTATCTTCAGTGACAATTAAGGAAAATAGAGTTTGTTTGTAGCCTAATAAGGGTTGGCTACAACCACAACCTGTAGTTTATTTGTGGTTTTGTTTAGATGAATTTCTCAATAAATATTTTTAGGAAAGTAAAATAAGAAGAAAAATAGAATAAGTTTCTTCATATATAAAAACTAGTGTATACACAAATTTTGTAAAAGTTCTCACTAGTTATTTTAAAATTTTTTTTTTTAACTCATACATAAAGTAGTTTTAGTTTATGCAGAAGATTAGTTTTTGGCAATGTAGTACATATATCTCCTTAATTTCATTAATTTATCTTATTCCACTTTCTAATTGATTTCAGATCCCTTTCCTGAATCTGCTGCTAGGAGTTGGATAACTTCAGCTACGCAGTCTTGGAATTCAGATTATAATCGATTATCTACACATATCCCAGGGTCAGCTATAACCCTTCCGTACGTGGTCTTTATGTGTCAAGGAGTGTATTTTGTTATTTCGAATGAGAGTTTAGAATGGAGTTGACGAAGAGTTTAACATTGGGGTAAGTCCCTGTATTGTATTCACTTATATATATCTATATATCAAGCATATATAGTCATGAAAATAATCTTGAATTTTCTCCCAAGCAGTGTGTGTATGATATTGCATGCTATTGGTATATATATACCTTTGATTCTCAGGGATGTTTGGCAGATTGCTGTTGGTGTTTAATTAGATATGTATGTATACATAGAAATTATATGCAACTACAAGAAAGACTAAAATGTGAATATACAGTTAGTTATATATCCTTTTTTTCTGACTCATATATATATACATGATCAATCCTTACATATCATATACTTTTACAATATTTATACAAATGGCATGTACAGCATATATTTTATTAAGAAAGTGTTTAATTTAATTTAATTTTATAAAATTGATTTCTCTACTCATATATATTATGATTTTATGATTAATTAGCCGATATAGTTATCTTCCAAATATTTAAATAATGAAGTAGACCTCCAATAGGTTAGCAGTGACACAAACATTGATAGTAAAAGGAAATCAAAGAGATAGAGACTAAACTTTTTCACAATCCATTGAGTGGTATCCCCACAAATATGTAAGATGATGTCACATACATATATTCATGCATAAAATGCAAGAGTCAATTAACTCTTATAAACATTGGATACCTCGAGGGTCCTCTTAGGTTTAATCAATATCTTTGACTTGATCCCTCTCTTTTTTTCCCCTTCGCTTCACTGAATGACTAAGATTATCCTTTCTTTCAATTATATAGATCGATTTATACTAAATAATGTCGTGCTCCTAATATCTATATTAGGGATTTTTTTTAATTTACGAGGAATTTAATATTTCCACTCAGGATCCTCTATCTATAGGTGTGCAACTCTCATTAAAACTAGATTGGGACTAAACTAAAGTATTATATTACCTAGAAAATCTATACATCATAGTATCCTATATAAATGGGATCTAGCATGAAGGATTAAATATACATTATAAATATGTATCATTGATTATTTATCAATTATATATCGTTAGCATTGTCCACTGACATTTTCTTATGATAATATGTAGCTTTAATGGTGGGGATATGAGGCCTTAGACTAGCTCAATCCTTAAGAAAATGATATCTAGATTAATTAGTACGTGACATGCTATGTATTCTGTTGCAATGTGATATGACTGTAATTAAATTTGTTTCGCTTTGCCATTTCTATGGTTTCTAATCTCTCGCTATTTATTTGTAATCTTTGAGTGATGATTCTATTTATAGTAGACATCTTATTGCTATAAGCATGCACCTTATCGATTGTTATGTATTTCAAAAGTTTAAGCTATGAAACAAAGATAGTACATGAATTGTTTTTATATTATATTCTTAAAACTTAAAAGAGTTTTTGGAGTTAATATATGAATAATGAAGAGACTCAGTTACCTTATGGTGAAATTAAACTTTTATTATTATTATATATTATTATTATTTTTACAATCAAACTGTAGATCGTTTGAGTATAAAGACTTTGAGATATTATCCCAAAAACTTTAACCGTTTTGAACATACGTTGATGAATTTGGGAGATATTATATATCGAGAATATAAAATTATGGAAAAATTTTAATTTCTGAGAACCTTTTCATGTGGTTCAGTAAATTAGGAATTTTCTATTTGTTGGGTGAATCGAAAGACTACTAAGAAGCAATTTGTTCATATAATGATAGAAAAAAAAAATTAGGATAATGGATGTTGATGGGACCTTAAGCTTGTGTTTTTGTTGGAAGATCCGATCCATGATTTAATGCATTAATTGCAATTCTATTCTATTAATATTAAAGTAGGTCCATTAGGTGTTGTGCCGTTGTGGTGCGGCAATTTCGAAAAATGCAGTTAGAGTGGGTCCTTAAACCACAATATTTACTTAATTAAAAACATTAGCCTATAGAAGCACAAAAGAAATTAAAAATTATAGAAAGAACGCTCTTGGTTTATTGCAATGTTTTACTTTTAATTTATAGTTCTTTTATAGCACATGCAAGAGACTTTGTTTATGTTTATATTGAAAACAGAAAGAAATGCTAGTTCTAATCACTATATAGGCGTTGATCAAAATGGTGATCTAGCTTTCTCATTCTGTAGTAAATATTGCCAATCAATTTGTCCTAGTTCTAGCTACTACAAATCTGTTTATGGAAGAGGAGAGTTTTAGAGAAATCAGCCTTCACCTAGAGTTTAATTTTGAATTACATTCATATATGTTAATGGAGGCAATTAGCTAGGTTATCATAGGTTTCACCGACCTAATCACAAATGAGGACAAAAATAAATTTAAATAGATTTTGTTTTAATAAGAAAGATATGTATTATATCTTTATATTGACATATAATGTCTTTTTATTAACATGTGTGGTTCTTTTTTACTTTATAAAAATTAGCTAATAGTAAAATATTATTTACTGATAAATCTAAAGTTTAAACTTTAAAACTCTTACTATAATATATATAGTTAATTATCAATATTTATTTTAAATTATATATAATTTTAATAATAATTAAAAATGATTTTTAAATGTGACATGATTAATAAATAATTTTGTCTATTAAACACATGATCGATTAGGGTTAGTCCAGATCGATATACATAAAAATACATTTATTAAAAAAATCAAAATTTTAAATGTATTTCAGTATCTTAGGAGATCAATCTTTAATTTTTGATTAAGGAATACTTTGATTTATCAAAATAGAAAGAAAAAAAAAATTCGGCTTGCTAGAATTCAACATAATTTGTCTTCGTGATGATCAGTTGGTCCTTAGGCACAAGAAGTCACAATTGACGATTTGCATTGCATAAATGCTTGATCATCTAGCTAGGTTCTTGAGAACTTGTGAGTAAATAACTCTAATTTAATTGAGTTTTGAAACAAAATATTTCTTTAGGAGAATGCCCCCATATTACAACACGAGAACTTTAATACAAATCATGCATCAATTGCACATGTTTACGTGGGAGAAAAAAAAATACTAAACATACACCTAATTTATTTTACAATTAGCTTTCATCTTCTTTTTTTCTTTTCATTTTTAATCACATCATTTGTTACGTCTATCTTTTCTCTTACATTTTTTTTTTCTGTCGTTCTCTCTTTTTTCCTCACGTACACTCCAAAATTGGGATGTGCAAAGATCTCACACGTGTTCATCGGGATTTTCTACTTCTATATTACAATTAGTTTTTTGTTGCTTTAGCATATATATATTTGGAAGTAATAATTTTGAGAAACAGAAAAAGGATGACAAAAATCATATTTTTAAGAGTTATAATGTTTATAAAAATAAATAAAGGATTAGTTCATTAAATTCATGTTAATATTATCATTTTATTTTTTTTTATTTTATAAAAAGGCACGAGCATTCTCAGAAACTGTCAATTAATGCTGAAAAATGACAACTACAACCTAAAACCCTGTTAGTGTTTACAACTTTCAAATTCTTCTTTCATAAATGTTGTTTATAAAAAGTCATTTTATTGACCGTGACTAAACAACAGTATATATAAGTTCATCAGAAAGTGAATGCAAATATTGAATGTGAATTGTGATAACCATGATTTCTTGTTGCTCAAGTCGAAACCCTAGCAGTTATGAACATGGTCTTTGCCTCATCGTAGACACGCAGTATTTGAACTTTGAAGTATATATACCCAAGTTGATTGAAGTTTTCGTGCAATTCAGAATTTGGGCTCAAAACATAAAATTATATTTAGTTTAATGCAGAGACCAACCGGGTTGGCCTAGCTCATTAAGAAACAATCACATATGATATAATATATAAAGAATGCATTAGGATATATTTTCTATTTTTGTTTTTATAATCATAAATAATTATAAAAATATCTCCTTCTTTATGTTATATATTTTTTAAAAAAATTTATGCAATATTCATTATTTTCTGTATAAGTATTTAAAATTAAATTTAATATGTCTGAAATTATCTTTTCAAATTAAAGAAGAAAACAAACCTTTAAGTAGTGGATCTTTGTTTACAGGATACATAAAATTTAAAAATAAAAAAAAAACAAAAAAAAAACGGTACCTTGTTTTTTTCATAAGTATTGATCGATATCTTTTAATATTTAGTTATTAATGTTCGGTTATATATGTGTCTTATTAACTTAAAGTAAAATATACAATATACAATATATATATATATATATATATATATATAGGGAACATATCAAGTGAGAGGAAATTTATTATGAGAGATGAGAGGGTTAAAATATAGCCCTTAGATTAATTTCCTCTCACTTGATTAAACTCTAAATTTTCTCTCACTTGATTAATCTAAGAGTTATATTTTAACCCTCTCATCTCTCATAATAAATTTTATCTCACTTGATATGCTCCCTATATATATATATATATAATTTAAAGGCTTAAATATGTTCAAATTACATTTAATTAGGTTGATTTTCATATTACTACCTAATATTTTTTTTTTAAATATCTCATGAATTTTTTTTTTAATTTAGTATATGATATTAGTCCTCCTCCATTAAGTGATAACATAGTTGACGGACTACCACATCATCACCCAACAATGTCTATCACGTCATCTTAAAGATTGTCACGTAGATATTTAGATGACGTGACAAACATTGTTGGATGATGACATGACGGTCTGTCAACCACGTCATTACTTAATACATGAGGACTAACACCAAAGTATTAAATTGAAGAGAAAAAAATTAGTCAATGTATTTAGAAAAAAAAAAAGATTAATAGATAGTAATATAAAAATTGGCCTAATTAGAGATTGTTTAAACATATTTATGCCATATTTTAAGTGAGACACATAACTGAATATATTATCTATCAAATGATTGATCGGTAAGGATATATCTTAATACCACCCTCTTGATTTTAAATATAAGAATTATATTAATTTAAAAAATATTGATTATGATTAATTATCACTAATCATATATATCAATCTTTATGCAATATTTGTATATCTACAGTTTAAGTATATAATCAACTAGAACTTAATTAAATTTTATAATTTTATTAATATTTTTACTTGTAAATAATGCAAGTCAAGATAATTAAGAAATAGCATAAAACTTGGTGTTACACTGACAACAGCAATAAGACGTAAGGGTACAAAAAATGGGGTA